AGGATGAACAATACTAAGGAAGGGGCAGTGTTACGACAGTGTGGGTCACGTGCGAGTATTCTAGAAGATTCGCTAGTGTGTTACGATAGCGGGGGTCACGTGACGAGTGTTCTAGAAGATTCGCTAGTGTGTTACGACAGCGGAAGTCAAGTGACGCTGGTAGTATGTGTGGAGAGTCTTAGAAGTTTCTAGAACAGGCAGTATTATCGTATATAAGTACGCTAGACAATGAGAGAGACAGATGGAGGCAGAGACGTAGCGGAGACGAAGCAGGCAGAGAGAAAGAAAGACAGCGATTACGGTCGGCGGGAACTGAGGATAGCAGACACAGAGATCGAAACTATAGTTGGCGGGGATGGACAATTAAGTTTAAGCACGACAGAAAGTGAGTGAACTGTTGTGAACTATAGTGTGTAACTGTGAAAATTAAGTGAATTACAAAGTTGTATTGAGGAAGAATAAACAAGTTTTGTAAAGAAAGGACTTGTATGTTAGAAGAAGTAAGAAACAAACATACAGAGACGTAACAATATATATATATATATATAGAATATGAGCATTAAGAAGGTCTTTGCAAAATCCCAGTTGTTACCTTAGAGTCATAATGGATACTATTGATTGTAATAGCCACCAAATGCATTGGGGATATCCCATCAACTAGACAAAATCCAAACACTGATGTTAAACTAACCAATAATCATGGAAAATCAATTAAGGGTACGGCATTGAGTGCTTACACTCACGTCTCAACTCCTACTGCCTTTCACTGTCTGCAGCCAGTTGTGGGAAGGCAGTTACCCTTAAAATTTCTTCTAATTCCTAAGGAAGAAATGAAACCACCCTAATATATTTCTACTATATGTAACCCCCAACCTCCGCCCTTAAAATTTTAATAATTCTTAAAGTAGAAATAAAATTATAACACCCTAATATTTTACTCCCAACCTCTGCCCATTAAAAAGAAATGAAATAATAAAATATTTTAAACAGAAATGAAATAGAAGATCTTAAATAAAATGATCTAAATAGAACTACAAGCCTTACCTTAATATTTCTTATGTAGTTCATATGCCCAACCTCCTCCCTTTCTTTTGAAAATTTATTCAAGGCTGAGACAAACCCAGCTACTTCAAGTTAATTTTTACATCCTGGTATACTGAATAATATTAATTTTAGATACTTAAAGGTAGCTAACTACCTCTACTGACAAAAAAGGTATTTTCCTTATCGAAAATTTATCTTTTAAAATATTTTCATATTTATTATAAAACAGTGTAAAAAGTTTTTAATTGCAAGTATTTATAACCATTATTTGCTAGTTTATTTATGAGTAATACAACATTATCCATAAAAACATCATCATTATTACAAACTGTTAAAAATCTCTTTAACTGAGATATAATGATGCCTTCTAACATTATACGTGCAATAACACTATTGGGATGGGTAGACCGAGAATGGGAAAATTAAATTCCCTTCTCTTATCAAAAATAGCCAGCTTTGCTTTGCCTTCTACTAATGTCCAAGTCTAAATAGTTGGAATGAACATCATTGTTATTGCTTTTTTCCGTTGCAAGTTCTTTTGGATATATTAAGTTTGGTGTAAAGTTCAGGTTATTTATGGCAATTAAATCGTCTATGTAATGAAAAGAATATGTAGATAAGTTAGGATTTGAAACCTGTTTCAGAAATGAGTTTTCATAAAAGAACAAATACAAGTTGGCCATATTTGAAGAGAAGTTTGCTCCCATTGGAATACCTATTGTTTTGTTTTTATAGTTGTTCGTTAAAAGTAATATAACTATTGTAAACACAGAAATGAAGTACATTTTTACACTGAACTTTAGTAAATGTAAATTTTGGAATGTTTATTTCTGTATTTACAAAATTATCACACAAGTCAATGAATACTCTGATTAATTCTTTCAAATCTATTTTAGCATACAATGTAGTGAAATCATATGTAGAAACACAGCTGGCTCTACCTGAAGCATTTGAATTATTTAAACATTCCAAAACTGGAATGTTGTTTTTAATAATCCAAAAATAATTATTTGGATAATTTAAAAACAGTGTTATAATTTTTTCAAACACAACATGCAGAATATTATTAAGAACAAGAGATACAGATTTGGTAACTGTATTTAAAGAATTATTTATAAATCTGAACTTAATGAGATTTTTATGCAATTTTAGAATTGCATATA